TCCCACCCTCCACACCCATTCTCCCAGCCGGACCACGCCCCCCCCCCGAAGCACGAAGAAGCTGCAGGTGATGACGGCCGGCTTCGCCAGCATTGCCGGAGGGGTCATGGCCGTGCCTTGGGAAGCTAAAACAGAGGTTCCTTAGGAGCTGAAACACCACGTCCAGTCCGGTGCCTTAGAAGGACCACACACCTTCTCACCTTCACATACAGAGCGAGGACGATGATGGAATCATGGAATCACTCGACTTAAGGGGTGGTGTTCTTGGTGACGGCCGGAAGTATCATGACGCATCAGGCTTTGGGTGTTTTGGAGACCACCTGAAGTGGACTGAAGTGGTCATAAGATGTCAGAAGCATCCATCACCACTTTTGCCAAGAATTTCTTCCATAAATAGCTTTCCAAGTCTTCCAAGTCTAACTCGAAACGCCTGGGCACCACCGGGTGCCTCCATCGTGCCGCAGCCGTGGGGGCCCAAAGATGTTGGCCCCATGCGCGCGGCGCGCAACGCCCACGCTCCCCGCACGCGGCGAAGCCGTGGGCTTCGGCTCAAGCCATCGGTGGTGTCCCATGAGACGGAGGAAGAGACGCACTTTGCCTTCGGCCTCCTGCACTGGGTGACGCTGGCCGTGGGCTTCTTCGGGCTCGTGGCGATGCTGCTGCAGGTGAAGCTCTTGTCCTCCGAACGCCGCGCCGAGCTGACCCTCCTCACCCCCTTCACGCGCCCCACGCCGACGCCCCTCGCACTCGCGAACACGCCGCACGCGCCGCACGGCGCGGACCCCGCCACGGCGGAGCTGGCGCGGCAGCTGGACGCCATGCAGCGCACGGAGCGTCCGCCGCGGGCGCTGCGCCGCGCGGCGCCGACGGTGCCGAAGACCACGGCGCCGACGGACGATGTGGGCAGACGCGAGGCGACGACGATGGCGCCGGCCGAGCGCAGCATGAAGAGGTGGTGCGATTGGTCAAGACATCCTGGGAAGTATCTGGGAGAGTTGCTGGATGAAGGGAAGGAGTGGAGTCTGGAGAAATTGAGCATTTTGGAGTTGGGAAGGACACCATATTTGTCCCTTTAAAACTACAGACTGCTTAAAACCACCCCAAACTATCGTACTGGTTCCACTCTGAATCACAGTCCTCCAGTCAAGGGTGTACAATTGCTCACCTTCTCACAACATGCTGACAGTCGAACATGTTTTAATGTTTAATGGTTTTTACGTTAAGACCAACTCGACCCACCTGGATCTTCCCAGTGACCGAACTGGATCCCCGGCTTGCTTTGGTCACTTCTATGGGCTTGACTCCCAAGGTCACCCCACATCAGTTGACCCACCTCCATCCATCCACCTCCACTGGGCCTCCAGGAGCTGTCACTCCTCGAGGCCCAGGAGCGCTGCTTCGCCGCCGGCGCCGCCTGCCCTGGCGTCACCTGCAGCGGCGGCGGCGCCGTGGGCGCCACGCGCTGCACCGCGCGGCGGGGGCTGCCGTACTTGGCGGTGTCACCGTCGAGCCAGGAGGTCTCCTACACCAAGAGATGCCCTGAAAGGTGGGGAAAGCTGGGCTATGATGGGCTAGATGTGCTATAGATTAGATGGTGGGCTTGCAAGCAAGAATGTGAGCAGAAGAGCCCAATATAGGGGCCCAGAGTTCAGGGTAGTAGATTCCAGAAAAAACACATGCACCCTGCGGAGGATGGTGTTTCTTTGTATATTCATGAGTGCGTAGAAATAGTTGCGGCTTGGACTGGAAGCTTCAAACACCTGAGCCTTAGGACTGGCACTTTCCACGAGAGAGTAAGTATGTGACCTGAACTAGGACCGCAGCCTGGGGTACCCAACTGGGATGGTCTAGTTCAGCTCCTTCAACCTCTGTTGGTTCTGCGCCCCAAAGACGCCACCGTTTCAGGTCCTCAAAGCCACCCTCCTGGGCTCCGCGTCCGTCCAGTATGCGCCGTGGCGCGGACAGCGCTGGGCGCGGCGACGTGGCGCGGACGTTGAGACCGGAGGAGCTGCTGCTGGTGGTGATCGCACACAACAGGCGCCCGGGGCGGGGAAATCAGGGGGACCGGCCATGGTGGGACGAAAAACCGACTTGAGGCGAGGCGAGCCGTAAGTGTCGAAGAAGCAAAGTGTCTGCGGTGGTTGAGTGATACCGTTGGACTCCATGCGTAGAGCAACGGCTTCGTGGTAAGTTAAACCTAGACCATGTTTTGTAGTTTATAACTTAAATCATCAATTGGTACAGTAAAACAGTGGTGGTTCGATAAAGCCTATTAAATCAATGATGGTTGGAAGCCTAGGGTAATTAAGGGACTTGTGGCCCCAGCCAAATCGGATGCGTCCCACCCTTGCGGTTCGCACGATTTTCATAGTCCACGGGGCCGAATGCTCAACCACAATGCCACAGCTGCTACAAGTTCTAAGCGTGGTCCAATGATTGTGTTTGCACCTTTTTGCTGACAAGCAGTGCTCCAAAAGATGGCGTTTTCGCCACCAGCAATCAAACTCTGACACTCAGGCGGATTTTTCAATGGACAAAACGACTAAATAGGAAGGCTAAGGCTGTTATCCAGTTTCTTCATGTATCACGGATTCTTTTTGTTTTATGCTCCAACTCACTTGTCGAAAAACTAAGCTTCGCTCCTTGTATTGCATTTTCATGTTTGCAAGGGAGGCCACTCCCAACCGCCTTTTCCGTCGGGAGTGAAGTGCCAAGTTTGATGAAGTTGGTATAGAAATGGGTTGACGAAGCAAATCTGCTGCAAACTAGAGCGCGTGAGATGGTCAACTGAGCGACCCCATAAGCAGCCAACCTCAGACCTTGCTGGATCTTCTCAATCCACTTAAGACATTCAACCTGAAAAGACCCAAACACTGCAGGCGGGGCGGGCTAAAAAACATGAAACAGACACGGATGATGTATTTCAAAAAGAACAGCACCTGGGACCTCCTTTTCCGCCGCGCCAGCTCCACCTTTTCCCTCCCTCCCTCGTCTCTCCACCTGAGACCCGTCTCTGCACCTGAGACCCGACTGCTTGGAGAAGTGCCTGAAATCCTTGTCCGAGCTCCAGGTGGGAGCGTTGGGAGTGCGTTGGGAGTGCGTTGGGAGCGGTCCGGTCCGTGGAACCGTGGAGGGTTGGTTGGGAGCTAGATGGGCACACGGACCTCGCACGGGACCGGCTCTGAGTCCGGATGCACGGGTGGACCGCGCTACCCGCGATGGAGGGTCTTGAGCTGCGAAGACAGCCACCGAGCTGACCTGTCGCTCCATTCGTCCATGAGGGGCCGGGCAACGTCTGGATCCGTTTGTTTGAAGCTTCCATGGCTTCTCGTCGACCGGTGGGGCTGCTGTCCCGATATTTCGTTCAAAGGAGATCCAGCAGACTCCCTTGGCGGTGTCCCTCGATGAGCCCAGTGCCTACGAGACCATGGAGGCCGTGGTGCACCGCTATCGACACGAGCTGAAGCTGGAGATTTGGCACAAGGCGCCAGGATCGTTCCCACAGAAGTTCCGCATGCAGAGAGAATCAATACCAGGACCCTCCTGGCGCTGTTTGGAGACCAGAGGTGGGTTTCTGGGCACCTACAGGTCACCAGGAAGCAAGTGTAGAGTGGGGTGCTGGTATACCCTCTATAAAGGCAAGAACTCCTTAGCTTCGTTGGTTCACATCCCATCCCAAAAAGGATGCCCATCGCGCCCATCCGTCTGGTGTGTCGGGACCATGGACATGGGACAGGTGCCCTATGCCGGTGCCCGGGGGCCGCTGAACGCGAAGGTGGCCGTGAGCCGGATTTCGGAGCACTTCCGCTTCGTGCTGGAGGAGAGCTTTGTGAAGAAGGGCTCCTGGGTGTGAAGAAGGGGAACAAGAGGAATTTGGGAGTTAACAAGGTGTCGATTAGGTAGGCCCAAGAAGGATGGTGAAGGATATGGTGGGATGGGGCCAGGGATGTCTGTGAACCACAAAACTCCCATGGGTCCTGGTACAGGTCGGATCGCGTGCTTCGACTGGATCCGGTGATGCTTCATGAAGTGACAGACTCGTCGGACTCGTCGGCCGTGAGAGAGTGGCTTGATGGTGTTTTCTGGTGAATGGTGAGTTCAAGCCTTTTGCAGCTGGCTTGCAATGAATTAAAGACTCATTAAAGACATTCAACAT